AATTATATGTTTATCATATTTATGAAAATTGAAGGTTTCTGCAAAGATGGTACCCATTCAGGAAAGTTACGATTCTCATTTCTCGCATCATAAATTGTATCTTTGATAAGTTTATCAATTTCATTATTTCCACTAGACCATCCTTCAATATTCATAAATGGATCACATTCTTTACACCATATTGACCATAATTCTTTGGTAAATGATTTATTGCAATAAGGACAATTTTTATGATCAATATTCATTGAATTAGAATCTTTGTCAAGGATGTTTAAATTATTGAATTCAGATTCTATTGGAACTTGGGCTTCGTTTCCTTTATTCATCTTTTATGTTGCTATATTTCAAAGTAGAAATTTCTGAGTAGAAATAAATTGTTGATATTGGCGCTATTTGCGTTACTATATAATATATTTTTCAATGAGGATAAAAAAGGAAAAAAGAAATGAAATTCCAAATTAGAATCTAAATTTCGTATCACAGTAATGCAGCAATAGATTTCTTGCTGCGCTAACAATGATATCATAGATATCATATAGCAGATCGGCAGTCACGCTCTCTTTAGGAATTTATAAATTTATACTAGAATTTATTTATCGTGGAAGCCGCAACTTCGATTTTATGTTAGGCAAATTTATTTAATTATTAATTATCACTAATAAAATTGATAAAGAAAAATAGTGATCATATATAAGAAATTTTTTTACTTAATATAATTGAATTATTATTATATTCAATTAGAAAAACGAAAATAAAAATCATTATAAGTTTATCGTAATATTTGAAATTTTATACCATAAATATAAAAAAAAATCTCTGCCGTAATAAATATAGAATTTACAAAAATTATAAAGAAAATAGAATATTAATTATTTTGAAAATTACACAATAAGAGAATATTTTCGTAATCCAATCAAATAACTCTAAAAAATAAAAACGGATGGATAAGTTTACATGAGGATAAATACACAACAAAAAAAAAAAAATTTAAAGAAGTGATAATATTTCAAAAAAGGAAATGAACGAATATCATGCAATATTAACCAACATGACAAAATGTATCAAAGATTGGATATACTGTATACGATTCATAATAAATTTAGTTACCAAATTATTTAACATGAAATAGATCTAGCGCAGACATATCACACATTTCATGTTACAAGATTCAAATTATTATTTATACAGAGATATCACCAAATATTTTTGATTGTATAGGTTTATAAATAATTAATATCTTACAGAAGAATAAAAATATAAAATGTAAGTAAACATCCTAAAAATGTAAATAATTAAGCTTAAATATTATAATATGTTTGATTATTATTTAATCAACAATTGTTTTCATTGCTAATGACATCTAATGAAATAAATTGAATTAACATAAATTTATTTAATTTATAAAACATATATTAAAACATACATTACATTACCTTTTGATTGTAAAATGAGCTAGAAACTTCCAAGTCAACTAATTGAGAATCTTGACAATCTATAAAAAAGAAATATATTTAGTAATTATGTAATTAAATATTTGATTAAAAAAATTTTATACCTTTATTGCTTTCTCCATCATTAAGATAATCGGTAATAATAGAAGAATTGACAGGTTTTGTTAAATTACTAAATGTAAATAATCTACTAGTATATATAGCATCAGGATTTTTCTCATACAAAGTTGAAATATTTGGTATTTCTTTATCAGCTTCCTTAAATATAGCTTTAATCTCTTTACCTTTATACCCAAACTTTTTTTTTTTTTGACGTGCTTTACTATGTGTAGAAGCATTCCAAAATTGTATTATATCATATAATTCTTCAGCTGTTGGTCTTTGATTTGAATTAGCATTCATACATTTATAAGCTAGTTTTTTATAAATTTCAGGAGTTCCTTTTCCAAATTCTGGTCTGAGTCCATTACATATTTCTAATGCTAAGGTAGTATCATGTTTTCTTTTATGAAATGGTGGTTTTCCAGATGATAATTCAACCATAATTATACCAAAACTATAAATATCAGAAGATAATGAATATGGTTCTCCATTCAAACTTCTGGAGCAATATATGGCAATACTCCACATATTTTATTATCCGATTTTTGTTTGTTTGATGGTCCAGATAATCCAAAATCTGAAATATAAGAAGCATTGAAATCATCAACAAACTCCACATATTTAGTAGTTTGTAATATATTTCCACTATGAAAATCTTTATGAAAATATCCTAATTTATGTAAACTTCTAAGACCATACATTATCCATTGTAAATAAAGTAATTTATCTTTCCACAAAGTATTATGGAAATTGTGTGAAAGAATACTTCTTAAATTTCCTTTATCTGCATATTCTGAAATTATTATAAGCTCTTCAGTTTCTGGATCTTTGGTCATTCCATAAAAACTTAGACATCCATCGTTTATTTGACATAAATCCCAAAGTATTTTAATCTATTATTTGTATTTAAATTAATGAAAAAATTTTTCAATTATTATTAAAGAGGTTAATTAAAATATGTAAAATTAATACAAAACTTACCTCATTTGAATATTCAGATGACATATTCTCTGATCCATTTAACCTTTTCAAAGCAACTTTGATAGGTCGAGGTTTTCTTTTTTTCCAACTTAAATCATATTTTCTAGTATATTTTGCTTTACCATCAATCCACGTTGCAGAATATACTTTGGAAAATCCACCTTCACCAATTTGTTTTATATTTTCAAATTTATAAAATGGTACCCATTCAAGAAATTTACGATTCCGATTTCTCGCATCATAAATTGTATCTTTGATAAATTTATCAATTTCATTATTTCCACTAGACCATCCTTCAATAATCCTAAATGGATCGCATTTTTTACACCATAATTTTTTGGTGAATGGTTTATTGCAGTAAGAACAATTCTTATGATCAATATTTGCTGAATTAGAATTATCAGCATTTTTATTGGAGATATTTAATTTATTAAATAGGGACTTGAGTTTCGTTAGTTTAAACATTACTCATATATTTCTAGCGGAAATAAATTGGACGTTATTGGTGTTATTCGAGTTACTTTATATATTATTTTCAATGAGGATAAAAAAGGAAAAAAGAAATGAAATTCCAAATTAGAATCTAAATTTTGTATCACAGTAATACAACAATAGGTTGATCAGATTTTTTGCTGCGCTAATAGTGATATCATATAGCAGATCAGCAGTCATGCTCTTTTTTATGGAAAGCCGTCCTTGACAAAAGGTTGATATCCAGACATCATGTTGGATAATGTCCAGAGCATCATGTCAAATATATGTAGAATAATGTTTGTACATCATTCAACATGATACTCAAGCATCAACCGACATGATGTCTTAGACATCATGTTACCAAATATAGTAAATTTTATTTTGTGTAACTTATAAAATATACCATATTTGGTAATTTGATCAGCATGATCACCCCACTCGGGTGATCATCAAAGGATATAACCTTATTATTTACGTCACAAGTGCATAGGTTATATCCTTTGGTGGGCGGCCCATGGGCATTACTATATAAGTCACGTGACTTTTAATTTTAACGTTAATATTTTAATGCTAATTTCAGCACATACCTATAATGCCCATAACGTCTGGCGCACATTTCCAGAGAAACATGCATTAGTCTGGCGCATGTTTCCCAGAGTAACATGCGCTAGTCC